ACTCCTCACATCTAACTCGTTCGGTCTCTGGCTCGAGGATGAAATAATTTTCGACGAAATGAACATTCGACGAAATGGGTGTCGACGAAATAATTGTCGACAAAATAATTTTCGACGAAGTAAACGCGACCGCTAAAAGCTGCACACCCTCCCTAAATGCACGTTCATGAGAAATGGTGATATGTTCCCAAGGAGGGTGCACTTAGAGGGGTTAACTGTATTACTTTCTGGTTATAGCAATAAAATTACCAATTTAGGCAGTAAACGGCCTAGCCAGCTGAGATATATCAATTTAAATTGTGAGCTAATTTAATATGTTTACTATGTGTTTGGAAGGCCAAATTGAAACATTGGACTGAGCTCATATACAAATATTTCCTAATTTAGAATAATATTTTGTCTTTATTTGTAAATAATTGAGCCCCAGATATAAAAAACTTTCAAATGACCATTTTAAAAGGTACTTCTTTTAAAGAAAGTATAAAATTAATCATATTTATTATTTTCATTTTATTTACTTTTTATTTGTTATAATGATTGGATTGTTGGATGCATATTAATAATGGTGATGGTAAAATCAAAAAAATCATAGAAAAACATAATAATCAGAATGAAGATGAAAAAGGTTATGATAGTGATATTGAAATCAGTGATGAGGATGAGGATGAGGATATTGATAATAATCTTGAAGTAGGTGATGAATATCAAAATAACAAAATATTTTCTTGCACAATTCCAGATTGTGATAAGATCTATAAAACTTGGGGATTACTTAAGCAACATAGTAAAATTATGGTGAAAAATTTTTCAAGTGTGAATATCCTGGATGCACTAAAGCATTTCATTATAAAGCAATTTTAGTAAGACATCACAAGAAATCATTTTGGAATAAAAGATTTCAAGTGTGAATATCCTGGGTGTGCCAAAGCATTTTGTCAAAAAGTTCAATTAGAAGCACACACAAGATGTCATTTTGAGATAAAAAATTACAAGTATGAATATCAGATGCGCCAAAACATTTTATACTAAAGGTCATTTACAATATCATACAAAAACCATCTTGGAATAAGAAATTTCAAGTGTGAATATCCTGAATGTACCTAAAGCATTTTTTCATAAAAGTCAACTACAAGATCATACAGGATGTCATCTTGGAATAAAAAAATAATGAATGTGATGATGTACTTGGATGTAACAAAGATTTGTTTTAAATTTGAACTCAACAGTCATAAATCTAAAATGCATTAAAGCTCAAATACATGATAATGATGATGAATCATGTAAAACTTATGTTGTTGTAAGTAATATATTAGTTTGCGTGTTTGATGGAATTTGCTTTACCAAGGTAGGTTGTGTTTGCCATTTAATTATTGCTTGTGAGTTTGAATTTAATTT